ATATACGTATATATATATATATGTATATATATATATGTATATGTGTGTGTTCTAAACCCTTCTCACACTATTGCAATGTTCTAAACAATGTTTCTAAACTAACGATCTAAAAGAGCACAGAATGTCATGATTTCAGCTCTCTGCCTCCTCTGCTTTTTGCCACCTGAGAGCGCTCTTGGCCACGCCCAATTATCCACTGCACAGTGAACAGCTGATCAGCTGCAGCAGGAAGTTTATCCTGCAGTGTGAACTGCACAACGGTGCAGCAGGTGCTAAATAAATTAAAATAATTTATTTTAAATAAAAAGTCCATGCCGATCGTGAGGGTCATCCATCAATCAGTCAATTGTGTCATGTCTAATCTTATTTTGAAAAACCGCAACAGAATGAGTCGGCGATGAACGAACTGTAAAGTAGTGAGGGACTACTGTAATCTGATTTCATTGTATTACTTTTAAAAACACTGAACAATGCAGCATGCCCTGTATTGCAGAACTGAGTAATATCCAAAAGGTCAGCACAAAAACAGTACAATCACAGTTGACAGTGGAGACAAGGAATCTTCAGAATGCGTTACCTGACTCCTGGATGAACACTGGGTACCAGTTCCATCTCAGACAATAATCCAGTCCAGTGGGACTGCTGGGGGAAGTCAACAATCACATCCTTCCCATTGGCACTGAAAGCTTGGTATAAGTATGGTAAATTTAAAAAACAATTAAGAGTGTGATGGAGTCATGAATGAAAAGAATACTATTCAGTTCACAAAAACACTATATCTGGACTTACCTTTCACTACTCCAACACTCCTGTGTGTGACTGAGCCCCACTTGTACTTTGGAGTTGTGACGGTGGGCTTTACCCTCACTTTATCACCAATCTTTATATGAGAAGGAGAACTTTGTAGTGGGAATCCTGGAAACATGAGAGTGCACAGAGGAAACATGAGTTTTTTCGTCTTGCTATTACTCCTAACTTTTAATCCAATTAAAAAGTATCTACCAGTTAGCTCAATGTGGATGTAGCGAACCCAGTACGTTCCTCCTTTTTGCTGCCAGTCACACTGAACATTTAAATCATGAAGTCCATCCCTGTCCAGCTTAATCACTTTCCCAACATCTCCATCATACACTTCCTCGTACGTTCTGCAGCACTTTACCATCATTCCCACCTGCAGGAAACCCATTAAATGTCATCCATCTCATTAAACCTCTCTTTAATACGGTTTTAGATCATATTTAAAGGCAGGTGCTTTTACCTGAATGTTTTCTCTCACATACACAGCATAATCGTCATTGCTTTGGAAATCTGACCTCTTCTTAAATGTCTGACTCTCAGTCACCACGGCTCCTGAGGACTAACATAATACAAATGAATCTATTAATAAATCATGCATGAAAAAAATTGAAAGGCTCACTTTGGTTAGTAATGTGTGAATTATAGAAGTCAAATTAAAAAACAATGCACCACAGAAAAAGTTGGCTCTGCCTCCTCCAGTTCCTCCAGCACCTCCTCATCTGAGTATTCATCAGACACAGTGTCAGCGTCTGATAGCTCCGTGAAGTGAATGTCTGGATGGTCGAGCAGCCAGCTTACCAGAGCTTCAACACCTGACATCACAGCTCAGTTATTCTCCTGATGTATATTTCACAGCGTGATATGAGAATAAACAAGTTTGTCATATACCTGGTACACCAGATGCACTGCCTGTTGTACCACACAACGACTTCAAAGCAAATTCAATATTCTTCCTTGGGAAGCCCATTTCCATGAGCTGGAGGACTATGGGTAATGGGGGTACAGGGGAGGTCTTCTGTTTCTTCTGCTTGGGCGGTTTGACATGTTGTATGGTGACAGGCGTGGTGGCCTCACTGGAGCTGCTCTCTTCAAACAGTGGAGAGGACGGGTGGGTAGATTCCACAGCCAGGAACTGACACACTGCCAGAGCTGCTGCCTACACACACACACACACACACACACACGCACGCACACACACACACACACACACACACACACACACACACACACAGATGATGAACAGATCAAACTAATGCAACGTGTTGGTCAAGTGCTGTTTTCCTGCTGACAATGACTTCAAACCAGCAAGTAGTGAAACTTGTAGTCAGATCTGTTTACCTCCATCTCACGCCTGTCAAAAATAGCTTTGATGGGGGAGGGCTGAGTGGCTGCAGAAAGTAGCTGCTGCAGGAGGAGCAAGGGGGGCAGTGGACCCTCAGGAGACAAGTCTCCAGCATCAGGAAAAGACACCACTGGGTCATCTACAACAATAAAAAGCCACAGAAATATGTTGTTCAAAGTGTTATCAAACTACAAATGCAATCAAATATATTTCACTATGGTCAAACAAAACCTTTATGGTTTGACCTCTAACTAGCAACAAACTACACACAATATGATACAGTTCATCTTAATAACTTCATACGTGCACAATTAAAATAAAGATGCTTTAAATGTATCTACAAATGCTGCATCTTTGTTTTAATTGAATACGACTTGTTAATTGGCCAAATTTACTCACATGTTCTAATAACTAGGACTGAGTTACTGAAAAATGTACTGTATATGTTAAAACTGAAATGGCTTACATGGATAAATTAGAAAATTGAACTAGAGACATTACCGCTGGGGTGGGGTCCGATGTCTGCAACTGCTGGCTGGGAGAGGATCTGCCTGAGTCTGTCCTGATGAGACAGCAGCGCCCGTCCTGCCTTCAAAATGTAAAGTCTTAGCTGTTGACAACGCAGCAAATGGATGTCCACCTGGTCAGCTGAAAACATACGCACAGTGTTTGGTTAAATCCACTCCTTTGTCAGTGTAAATTCACTAATCTTTCAAAACCTGATTGAACAATTAGGAATGTTAATGTGATGTTGTCCACCTGCTAACCCTCGACTGAGAGACCTCTTCATACGTTGTTTCTCTACTTTGCTTCCAGCTAAATTGACCAACTGAGCCCAAACTGCCAACATGGGCTCATTGAGAGGCAAGTTCTGCACATTCAGCAAGACACCAGGAAGCTAGGAAAAAACATCAAATAAAATCAGTTCAACCGTGTCGTTCATATTTTACACATTCAAGCATCTTAACATTCCCATACCGGTTTGAGATGGCTGAGCAAGCAAACCCTGCAGGTTCTCATCTCATAAAACTGGACAGTGATGCGTCCTTTTGGGGTAATGCGTGTGACGGTTCCTTCTCCGTACTCCTCGTGAATGACCTGCCCCCCCAGCCTGAGGCGCCCATCAATCCCGCCGATCACAGCCAGAACTGCCATCAGACTGCAGACTCTGGGACCCTCTGGGTCAGGAAAATACTCCTCCAAGATACACTGAAAGGCAAACATTTAGAAGAACCAGGTTTTACTCCAAAATTCATGAATAAAGTTTGAACGAAAGCACTATTCCAAGTTAACATCTTATAACACAGAAACTGAAGTATTGAGAGAGCAGCAGATCTTACAGCTTCAAACTGGCAGCCAGTCATAATATCTCCAATGGAGCTGAGCTGAGTGTTGATGTAATCGTTTATTAGACCTTTCCACTGACTGAGGAAGTGAAGAGTACGCAGGACAGTAACAATCTCCTCTGCCAGCGTGCTGCTGTGAGTGGCTGTCAGAGACGCCTGTGGGCGAGACTTTCTCCTCCTCACGCAACCCTCTGCAGAAACAATCCAACATTTAACACACACTACTACGAAACTGCAAGACTCCTGACTAAAAGCCTGATCTGTGCTGGCACCTCGGAGTAGTGGCAGATCTGATGAGCAGGTGCTTAGAAGGCTTCCCAGGAAACCAAACAACTTCTCTACCAGGAACTTCATGTCCTGAGAGCGCTCAGTCTTGTCCCATGAAGGCAGGACTGCCTGCAGGAGGCGCAGAGCCAGGATCTGGAAACACACGTTAGAAAAAAAATGAAAACTGAATAGGTTTTGTGATGTTTCATGCACAATGTTTCAAAGAGACTCGTGTATGTTCTCATGACATTTTTACCAACATGCTCCGGTAGCAAAACAACAAAAACATTCTGGGTTTTATTAGGACATTTCTTCCAGACATTGTTGTAATGACAAAAACAAGAACAGCATATGTCTTGCCTGTCCATGTCTGACATGCAGTGACTGCAACTTGAATTCAAGAGGAAACTGAGAGGACACAAATAAGACGACTAAACTTCTGACACTTTGAGAAGCTAGTGTGACATGTTCCCTCCTGCAGACCTTTCTATTTTAACAGAAGGGATCCAAAGTAAACATTGTTTTCCTGTATCCTGATGCACGCTCAATAATCCAGGTAGAAAAATCCAAAAAAGTTCAATCTGGTCCTCTGAAGGTCCAGAGGTTTTTTGTTTGTTTGTTTGTTTTCTTGTTTTTTGAACGTCCAGAGGACCAGATTGAACTTTTTTGGATTGTTTTCCTGTGTTTTCATTTCGATAGTGATTTCATATTTATAAATATCTTAAATGTAGACTAAAGCACAGAAAAGACACATGTTCCATAAACTGTATACTTTAGGGCTTAGAGTCTGGTTTTTACTAAAGATCCTAGCATAGCATGCATTTGTTTTTATAGGAACTTAAAAAAACGTTTTAATTTTGTTTCTTGTATTAACCAACGTGGTTGCTGTAACAGAGCAGCACGGCAGCGCAGTTGGTAGAGCTGCTGCCTCTCAGCGAGCAGGTCCCTGGTTCAAACCCTGGTCCAGGGGCCTTTCTGGGTGGAGTTTGCATGTTCTCTCCGTGCATGTGTGGGTTTTCTCCAGGTACTCCAGTTTCCTCCCACAGACCAAAAACATGCATGTTAGACTGATGGTAACTCTAAAGTGTCCTTAAGTGAGAGAGTGAATGGTTGTTTGTCTCTATGTGTCCCTGTGATGGACTGGAGACCTGTCCAGGGTGTCCCCCGCCTCTCACACAGTGACTGCTGGATATGGACATCAGTGACCCCTACGACCCAAAAAGGAAGAAGCAAGTGCAGATAATGGACGGATGAATGAATGGATGGATGGATAATTGTCTGTCTTACCTAAGGTGTCTCATAAACCTTGAATGAATTAAAGGCAATGCTTTTTTCAATTGCTTTTTAACCTGATAACAATTATTGTTTATTTTATTATATTTAGGAAGACGTACCACTTCTTTGAATATCAAATCATTTTTTTGAATGACAAAAATAAAGTAGGCAATTCCGATATATCACGTTAAGCTACCTGTCTCTGCAGAGTAACGGCATTGAAGGACTGGTACCCCTCTACTATTCGGAGAAGCAGGCCAATCCAAGCAGAGGTGCTAAGAGTGCTGCACATCTGTGGCAAAAGAGCAATGCTGCGAATGAAGCCCAGAGTACACCAGTTCCTGTGCTGCTCCCGAGACACCAATCTGTGAGAATGACAACCTGACAACAAAAAGCAGTCCAGTTAAAATGATGACCAGTAACATCTCTTGCAACAAACAAAACCCCTAAATTAACTAAGATATGATTACTTGTCTTGTCGTTCACTCCACTTTCCACAAGCATCCTCAATAGTCCACACAAAGTTCGCAAAGCGTCCGTTTGCAAAACATCTGCATAGATCCCAGCAGATAAAGCGAGCATCTTCAACAAATTGACTGTGCTGATGAGCATCATTGCGGTTGGGTGGCTGCTTTTCTCAATCAGCTCACCTTCTTTAAAACAAAACCAAAATAAAAATTAAAGTTTTTATTTAACACAAGTCTTATATGCGCAGGCACTTCTGTGGATACAGAGTAAACTAACCTGTGTCATCCTCAGTGTCTGAGTCTTCAGCTGTGGGCTGGGCAGCTGGAGGCGGCTCTGCAAGTTTCAGGTCATATTTGCCCTCCTTGCCCATCCTGTATGAGTTGGTGCTGCTCGTGTCCCATTGAACTCTGATCCATCCATCCTCACCCAGCTCTCCAATGACTCGGCCCAGACCTGGTGCTGGACCATCCTGGAACGTGCACAAAGTTAGATAGTTACCTCTAGGTCAGGAGCATTCAATTAAAATTTAAAGAGGTGCAGTCAGACAAAAATTTATAAGTCCAAGGTCCGTAAGTCCAAATATTTAATGTGAAACATATATATATAT